AGAGAGAGAGAGAGCGAGCTAGAGAAAGAGAGAGAGAGAGAGCGAGAGAAAAAGAGAGAGAAAGCAAGCTAGAAGGGGGGAGGAGAACGAGAGGGAGAGAGAAAGAAAGCGAGAGAGGACGAGCTAGAAGGGGGAGGAGAGAGAGAGGCGGCGGTGTGAGAGCGAGGAAGGTCTCCGAGTCAAGGAATAAAAAACACGATTACAAACGTAAACACGGAAAAAACCGACGAAGAACTACGCGCAAATCGAGTAAATTACAAAAAAATCTGTCTCGCGCGCCGTCGTCGAGAAGACAAAAGAGCAGCAACATGGCGAGCGAGCATCTACCCCTCCTTTTCTCGGCAGAAGAGGAACGTAGCAAGCTCCGCCTGACCTTCATCGGCGCCTCCTCGAACCGGCACGCCTCCCCCGACGACGAAGAGGAAAGAGGAGAAGGGGGAGAAGTCCGTGGTTTTCGTTCCTCCGCCGCCACCGCCGCCGAGCGAGCCGAGAATCGGCCGGTGGCGCCCCCCGGCGGCAAGTCCGTGTAACACCGCTGCGTCTGCTGTTATCCGGCACCTGCAGAGCAGAGCAGATGAGCGACAATCGCAAAATAACGAGGTGATCGGTGAATTCGGTGGTTTCCGGAAATCGCGCGCCGAACGGGAGCCGAGAGATCGCGCAAGTGGCGCGGATTGTACCGGGTCGCGACCATGCACAAGTGACCCTTGTGCGCAACGAGTGCGATATCATACGATCTGCGTGATCCGTGAATTCTTCCTATACGTAGACTGTACGATATACACGCCTCGCTCGAATAACACCCCTGCTATAAGTGCGATATTGTGTCATCGCGGAATCCGCGGATTTTCCGACGACGCCAGAATTGCGCGCGCGTAAAAGATGCTTACTTGCTAACAACTGCTCACAACACTTCGCACTTTCGCTTGTTCTTGTTCTTCTTCTTGTTCTTTCCCTTTCCTCGTCTCTCTTTCTGCAAAACAGCGAAGCAAATTCGGTTAGCATCGCGCAAGTCACAGCGCACAATCGATACGTCATGTTACGGGAAAAATGATTTTCCTTGCGATGTGTTGATAGGGATGACGTAAATTACAAGCAGTGGGAGAGGAGTGGAGTAGGGGAGGAAAGGGGGAGTGGAGTGAGGGAAGGAGTGGGGGTAGGGCCACAGCAAGCACCACGTCATCCGTCCTACTGGTCGTATCGCAGGCAGGCGAGTGATCTACTCTATATACGTAGCAAAGCGAAGCGGGTGTACGTTGTAGCCTGCACCGCTGCCTTCCCAGGTGCGTGCATGCGTGCGTGCGTGCGTGCGTGATTGCGTCAGGGTTTGTACACTACACCAAACCTGAAATTCAAGGACTTTTCAAGGACTTTCAAGGACCCAACAGCCAAATTTCAAGGACCTTATCTAAGTAATACACAAGGTAAAAACATTATTTTGTAAACGTTACCCCAAATGAGCATAACGATTGACAAAATTTTAACCATGTTCTTGAAATCAACCAAATTTCGTTTTTCAATGACTCTTCAAGTACTTTTGGGTGAGAAGCCTGAAATTCCAAGATTTCAAGGCCTTAAAATAAAAAAATAAAAATTCAAGCACTTTCAAGGTTTTCAAGGACCCGTACGAACCCTGGTGTGTGCGTGCGTGCGTGTATACGGGAGTGCGGAGAGCGAGGTCAACGAAACGGGAACGTGGTTGATGCGTGCATATGCGAGAGCGAAAGAGAGAGAGGGGGGAAGAGGGGGAGAGACAGGGAGAGAGAGGGGGAGAGAGAGAGGAGAGAGAGGAGAGAGAGAGAGGAGAGAGATCGCACACAGGAGAGAGGACGAGAGAGGGTGAGAGGCGCACACACGCGTATGCTATGTTATGTACAGTGGACGACCACAATTCGCAGTTTGACACTAATTTAGTTTTCTTCTTTCTCTCCCCCTCCCCCTCTCTCTCTCTCCCTCTCCCCCTCTCTCTATCTATCTATATCTCTATATATATATATATCTCTTCCGCCCTCTCTCTTTCTCTCCGTCCCCCCCCCCCTCTCTCTCTGTCACGTCACACAACCTTGGGATTTCACGTCGGCCAATGACAGAGAGAAAACCTCATCGATCTCCATCAGTGTGCGGGAGAAAAAAACAACCTTGACGCTTGCAATTGACTGACGAAATTACTGATGAGACAGACATGCACTCGCCGACACCACCACACGCACGCACGCACGCACGCACGCACGCACGCACGCACGCACAGACACACAGACACACACGCACGCACGCACGCACAGACACACAAACGCGCGCGCACGCACAGACACACACACACGCACGCACACGCACTCGCCGATACCACCACACGCACGCACAGACACGCACGCGCGCTCGCACGCACGCACACGTCCCCCAACACGCACACACACACGCGTTAAAAAAAGCCACCTCGATCGATACACGCATTTGATTGCTACGCGATTACTCGTAAAAACACCTGCGGCTGCCAGCAACGTAAACGATCGACGCACGCACGCACGCACGCACGCACGCACGCACGCACGCACGCACACAGAGATTAAACTTACGACGTATACGCCGACACACGAAGGCACGACGACACGCGACCGGTCACACACACGCACACGCACGCACGCACGCACGCACACACATGCACACACACACATATATATATAGTGCGCTTATACTGCAGCCATCTATCTAGAGCAAGCAGACGTAACACCATATCCTATTGCCAGACCTGTAGTAATGGGTCTGAGACTGTTGAGTAAGAGCGGCAGGCAGGCAGGCAGGCAGGCAGGCATGATTTAAGGCTCTACTACTACTCGGCACGTTCTGCTTGCATCTATGACACTTCGACTTCAATGGCGAGTCAACCTCGTTCCGCTTTACAGCTGAAATTCACTGCTTGCGTTCATAATAGAGCTCCTAAACTCCTATGATGCGCACAACACATACAACAATATTTGTCATAGGAAGAATCTTCCTATGACAAATAGTGTCATAGGAGAGCGTACATGCGTATGTCATATTTGTCATAGATGCTAGCAGAACAGGCTGTACTACTACACTCGCTAGTACTCGTGCCGATGGGTCGGTCGGTCGGCCGCCAACCCGCCGGCGGAAGCAGCAGCAGCGAGGGAACAAGAAGCTGGAACACCTCCTCCTTCTTCCCTCCCTCTTCCCCCCTGTATGGCTTCATCAATCCGCGCTCACGGTCGGCTGGCCGGACCCGTCCCCACGCACGCACGCACGCACGAACGCATTGACGTACGTACGCACGCACTGACGTACGCAGACACGCACTTATACATCCACGCACGCGCACCCGTCCCCAAACACGCACGCGCATACACATACGCGCACACCGGCAGCACTGCGTTAAGGCACATGTAAGCAAACAGCGGTATACCGCTCTCGCGGGAAGAAAGCGCGCGCGAAAGCAACGCCACCAGAGGGCGCCACGGCTGCAGCGAGCGCGCGCGCGTGCGGCGGACCGCTCCGCCTTTACAACCAAAGCCAACAGACAGACAGACAGACAGACGGACACGCGCACACTAAAAATCGTCACAGACGCCCCGTGCGCGATCGGATTGTTTACGCGGGACACGGTCGTAACCGTGGCAACGGGCGGACCGCGCGCACGTTACTTCGCACCCCGCGCTCGCAGCGCGTCGCGACCCACAGCGGGGCGACGCCCGCGCGGGGTAGCGTAAACAAAAACACCCAACGTTTCCCGCTCCCTAGTATATCGAATGAGAGGCAAATGCGGGAGCGGAGGGGAGCGGAGGATAGAAGGTAAACGAAGATGCGAACGAAGAGAACAACTACGAAGACGATGTACACACACAGAGAGAGAGAGAGAGAGAGAGAGAGAGAGAGAGAGAGTGAGAGAGAGAGAGAGAGAGAGAGAGAGAGAGAGAAAGAAAAAGAGAGAGAGAGAGAAAGAGAA